CCCCGCCTTTTCCGAGGTCTTCCCGATGTCCTCCCGAGGTCTTCCTGGGGGGTCGCGGTTACACCGACGGCGACGGCGACGCCTCTCAAGGCGGAAACGGGCGCCTAAGAGCTGCGCTCTAAAATTATCTTCGAAGAGCGAAATGACTGGTCACTCAAAATACGTTCGTCCTACGCATAGTCACCAGCGGGCCTTGGCTTGCGTCGGTGGTCCCATTGGTTGCTGGTGTCCTTGACCGTAGACGATGGGTCCGATGCCTTGTCACGGTGGATGGAGGCGGATATGTTTGAGATCGACCCACGATGCCGAGACGGAGCCGTGTATGTTAGTGCCGGGTTCCTAGACACCGGAGCGAAGCCGGCGAATACTTGAGACTTGACTACGGGACCTCCCTGTATGCGAAGAGCAGCGCTGGGTCCCAGTCCTTTGGCCTCTCTTGGCACATTCACCGTAACATCTGTTTCGTAGTGCCGTTAAACCTCTCGACCAAACCATTACAGGTCGGATGGTAGGGAGTGGTATGCAGGTGCTTTATTGATTATAAACGACTTATTTCTTTGATCAAGTCTCACGTAAAGTTGGTACCGCGGTCACTGAATGTCTCCGTTGGCCCCCCAGACCCCGTGAATATTTCTGCCAGCGCTTCGGCTACCTGCTGATATCCAGCGGCCCGCAACGCACCGCGTCTGGATAGCTTGTAGCCGTGTCCACCATGGTAAGGATATAATTGTTTCCTGCACTCGACATCTGTGTGGTGGGTCCAACTATGCCGGTGGCCAACTTATGGATTGGCGTCTCGATCGTGGGCATATTCCCAGTGGCGCCCTTGCCATTGGCACAGTGCGCTGAAAGACGTCGCACGCCCGGACATATCTTTTTGATTTCGCTTTGAATCTCCGGCCATAAGAACTCTTCTGCCACCAGGCCTAGTGTGTTCTTCATTTCTAAGTGGCCCAGCATGATATCATCATGTGTGATCGTCATCACCGTTGCTCTGAACTTCTTCGGAAGCACAAGCTAATTTGTCTTCCTTCCCAATGAGTACTGAGCAGTCCTGTATAACAAGTTAATTTTCATGACAAACTGGAACATCGTTCTGGATCTACGTTTCCTCGTGATCTTATTGATCTCATCAAAACACCTCTTAAGGGTGTCGTCTTTTTTTCTGCTCTCTATCAAGCTCCTCGGATGTTGCATCGACAATTGATGCCTGGGGTACATTCAGACGTGTTCCTTCGCTTTCCTTCGCCACACTTTGCGCGACGCTCGTGTCCAGAGCTGAGGCAACTTCCGTTAACTTTGTCTGACGTGACCCGTCATTGCTTTTTCCTAAACCGGACGTCTTGGGTCTGTCCGCTCGTACTTCGGGTCGTCGATTCATCTCTGCGCCGTCGTCAGGACCTCGCTCGTCAGCTTCATTTGTCTTTTTTCATCCAGGATCCGGGTCGTCTGCACTTTAAATCTGAGGAATGTTCCTTAGTACTATATCATACAATGAATCGCTAATACATTTCGATAAAACTGTTCCTGTATAAAATCGCGTCTGAATGGAGATTTTGGCTTCGGGCAGATACCTGACCGTCCGGTTCAATAGGAAGACACCACTCGATTTTCCGGTGAAGTTCTTGGCCGGAACCAGGTCATTTCTGACGACCACTGTGTTACACCCTGTGTCCCTGAGTACCTTCATTAGATTGTTCCCGAGCCGTCCCTCAAACACAGGCATGTTCTCTGCTAGGAACTTCGGAGCTTTCCCAAAGGCAGCGTTTGCTACCGAGATCTTGTCTCTGCTCTTCAGCGTGACAATCGATTCGTCTGGCTTGTCCCGTTCAGCTGGTGGATTTGTACAAATGCATGAGGCCAGGTGTCGTCCAGCCGGTCCTGTTTCAACGCGCCGACGCTTTAAACCCTTGCGCTTTGCTCCAACAATTTTCTGCCCTGTGTCCCAATTTTCAACAGAAGAAGTAGCGGCTGCTTCTTCTGGAGTCGCACTTTCATTCATTATTCTAGTCTCCCATTCGAGTATCCCCCCCCCCCCCCCCCCCCTTCCCCCCTTAAAATATTTCTGGCTATTCCACTGGCGTGACCGAAACACTTGGAAAGCGTCCTGGTATTTATACACGAACTCGGCTCTTTTACGCCACGTCGCGGTGGTGGCACGTCGGCCGCACTTCCGGTCTGGGGCTGTGGGCAGAAGTCATCATGCAGGACGTGCATTCCTGCGTTGTTTTGAAAGAAATCGGAAAAAAGCCTGCCTTCTCCTCAAAACGCCGCGACTGGGGCTATACCGCAAGAGTCGGGAAAAGTTTGAAGGTCAGTCTTCGTGTATTTTCTGCCTGCTCGGTTCCTCCAAAAACGCTAATAAATGCCGTGCAAAAAAAAAAAAAAAAAAAGGAAACCAGACGTTGTTGGGCCACGACTGCTTCTGCGGGAAGCAATTTTGGTTCAATTTACGGATACTTGTTGTCGTCAGATTTATTTGTTTTGTTCCAACATGAACACGGGAAAACCGCCAAGTTGTACGGACCACCTGCTGACTACGTTCAGTGCATCTTCAAGTTCAAACGGCTGCCGGTTCGTTCGAACTGTTGTCTGCTCGTTCAAACGACAGCGGCCCGTAGACCAAACGTTGACCCGGTAATTGCGACAAGTATGTACAGGCCCCAAAATGCTTTTAAGTATGAAGGTGGGTTGGCGTAAGCAGGCTCGATGTAAACAGTAGATACAATGAGACGTTGATCATTGTTACCAGTGGCCATCACCGACTTGTTATGCCTGATTCACTTGGTCCGATTCTGCTTGCGATTTCAGAATCGTCATCGACCATCTCAGCAACGGTCCACGTTTTTGCAGCCCGAGCGACGTCGCGACTGAAAAGTGCGAGCGAAATCTCTTCATGCGAATCAGGCTTTAGCGTACGTTCTGCGGCGTCCACGCGGAATGAATCACCGCATGTCACATTATTCACACGACGTTTTGCGGTGTAAGGAGCCTCGTTAATTTTACTGAGGCCGCTAAAGTAATCAAACATTGCCAGGAAGACATAAAATCAACAATCCAACGCGAAAATAAAAAGCACGGGGACTCACACCGATGCCGACATCGCCTTCCAATGGTTTGTTTATGGGTGACGGCGAGCTTCTTGCCCACACTTCATCGCGCATGCACGGCGTCGGTGGCGTCCGCTAGGGGCGCTCCGGTTTGTTTGTAAACATGAGTTGTTGTGTAAGAGATAGCAACGAGATAACGGATATTTACGACGAAAGAGGCATGCCTCGCTGACACTTCCGTGCAGGATGGTGCCTGGTTAACGTAAAATAAAACTATAAATCAAGATCTTCGCTTGAGGCGTAGGTTTTTTTTTATTCAGACAGCTGGAATGGACCTTTCACAGTAATATCGATTAGAGAGTAAATGATTCTGGTACCCTCTCTCTCTCTCCCTTCTGGCCCAGCAGAGAAGGAAGATAATTTTTTTGAATCGACCTCGAGGCAGAAGATAACCCACGATGGGGGCAAAGGCGAGTTTCTGGGAGCCGTATTCAATTCACAAGGGCTCAAAGGTCAAACAGGATGCAGCTGAAGTTTTGGGTGTCGAACGGTTAGGGTGGCCTCGAGCGCGCGCGTTGTTTTCTAGCCACTTAGTCTAGAACCCAGTAACGTGTCTAGGGGCAGAACATACTTGACAAAAGGTGGATTTGGAGTTTTTCGATTCTTTCCGATTTTTATCAAATTGAATCTGGGGTATAATTTTCGTGGTCCGTCGGTATTTACCGAGAACAGATAGCAAGCAGCATTGCGCATCGGACATCACGTGGGTGACATGCGATGCGCCTTCGCTCAGTCAGGGTCACGTTGTGGTCAGAGCCTCCTCTACGTGTTTGCAGTCGCTCAAAAGATCTCGATGCAATCTTTGTTATTAGGGCGACTGGAAAGCACGTGACTTGGCCTTAAGCTGAGTGCGGTAACAACTGTACTACTAAAGATGAATAAACGATTCCACGCCACTGACGCCGCCGACGCGAAGGAGAAAGTAGACCATTTTCAAAACCCCTTTGAGCTACAAAACCCTTTTGGCCACAAAGCATCTAGTGCACCTTTTTCCAGTAAGGAGCGCCTCATGAGGGTTTCGCCGCCTACTAAAAATGGAGGGCAACCAGCCTCGCCTTCTCCCATAGGAACAGATTAGTGTCGCAAGAAAACAGTGCCCCCCAAGAATGGCGAAAGGGCGGTCAAGGTCAAGGAAAAAGGGTGTGCGCGTGCGCGGACGCTTACTGGAAAAAGGCCCATTGTGTCAGAGTCCTCGCTGAATGCTGATACAGCACTCGTTCTCGGTCCGATCTGAGCTGAGTTCACATCAAACGCTGACTGCCCAAAGAGTGGCGAGCTCGGTTAGTTGGCGCAGCAGCTAGTAGATGGCGCGCTTTTTTTTACGCCCCCCCCCCCCCCCCCCCCCAATAATAATTACTGGTTACGCTACTGGCAAAAAGGCATCCTTTTGCGAGACCACCAGAACTTCTGATGTAAAATTAAACCGGACCGATAGAACACCACATTTTCCACAGAACACTTGGAGCAGACGACCACGCTCATAGGATGTCGGCGACCGTGGCGGGTTGTGCCGTTGCCACGATTGCCACAGCCGGTGGCAGTGTCGATCCTTACGCCATGTTTTGAGGCGGCGGAAACAAGAACCTTACCCTTGAGCGCAGAAAGAGCACATCGATGAAACATGGATGCCATCGGGTGTACCCGTCCTTATGGCCGGAGTGGGTTATTAACATAATTGACGTCGTCGTGGCGTCACCATGATTCTTGGGGGGCACTACCGAGACTTCCTTGAACGCCGCTAGCTTTGTTAGCCTGGTTCGGTGTCAAATGTTCGGTTTTGGTTTTGTTCCTGTTTGGTCAAAAATAACGATTTTGATCCGCTTTACGGTTTGCGGTCCGGTTCGGTTTGACACCTCGATTACATCGTTGTTGCTTTTTTCTCTTTTGTAGGGGCAGCCTTCAAGATGATGAACCCCAGTCATATACCGCCAGGTCTCGAGTATCTGGGGATGATCGACCAAATCATCATAAAACAGAAAGTCGAACTGCTTGAAGGTAAAACATTTAGTGTGAAGCGCGAATAGAGAGGAGCTGATTTGTTTTCTCTATCCCAGTGAGCGTGCATTCATCGCTTTTAAATAACGTTGTTTTGCACTCTTTCACCCACGCCGTGGTATTGCCAGAACCACAAACTACGGGCACATAAAATCGGGTCCGCGCCGTTTCGTCGAAACACGCTTCGTGGAAACACGTTGCGTGTAAAAGTTTACAGCTGTTTTATAGCAGCAAGTTTCGCCGACACCGTGACGTTTCGTGTACACGTTTTCCTGCGACAATTCGTCGACAACATACTCTTGCCTTGGCAACTAGGTGGGTTCGGTTAGATCACTGGCTTCATTCCATTCGCTCGAAGTGACTGAAAGCCCTGGAAGCCAGTGAAACCTAGGCGACCTAGGCGGCTCTGGTAGAGAAAAAAAAAAAAAGAAAAACATATTAGCAAATTCTAATTTTAGGCGTAAAGTCGACCACGCTACTTGCCTTAAACAGCTCGCTTCGCTCAAGGAAAACGGATTATAATCTCAGGCCCGAGTTTGCACCAAGTCTTTTCGGATCCTCCAAAGGTTCGGCAAGCTAGGCTACCCATTCAGATGCTGACGGCCGAGGTAATTTGAATGCACGGAAACATGCTTTCGTAACTTGCTAAGCTGATGTATGCTTGTTTGGTCTATATCGTTTAACTTTCATTCAAACTGGAATATGTTTTTTTAACAAAATAATTACTATTTGATATGTACGCATACAATTAGCCTACCATTCAAATAAATATGATAAAAATGCATTGCAATGCGCACAGTCGACCAAATGTTTTGAGGCCTGTTTACATTGCAAACTGACTTTACAGACATCTCAATTATGGCCTTTTGAGGGAAGAAGGTAGACTTTGTTCTCGTGGTCATCAAACTATATATATATATATATGTATAGAAAGAATGAAAATGGTTTGAATTCATATTCATTTCCCTTTCTTACTGCATGACGACTGTGGCTTATTATTGGCACAGGGACGACGAGAAATTATACTGTTTTGTTTGCTTTCCCACATAAATAATTTAATCTGATGCCTAAACCCATGTCTCCTGTTCATCTTTATTTCAGTTTTCACGGGCTTTGAAACTGCCAACAAATATGCCATCCTCAACAGTATGGGACAAGATGTGTTTTTTGCTGCTGAAGGTACGTTGGCTTTGAAGCTAGGACCCATCTCAGTTTTGGGTTGCACCCTCAACGCAGAGTCACGATGGGCGGTTGATTTCAAATCCTGTGTGGCTGGCCTCATAGTCCTCTTTGTACCTGCGAATTAAGTCCGTCATTTCTTTTTATCAATACTGCGGAGCCAGGAGAATCGACCACATAGGGCCTTCCATGATCACGATCTGAAGGTCAACTTTGCCTCTCTTCTTGGAGTAGTTAAAGATGACAACGTTGTGTCTATAGTAAACACTCTTCTTGTGTAAAGTAGTTTAACAGTTGTCAAAGTCCTCCAGATTTTTTGAGACTACAGTTAAAGGCCGACGTACAATCTCGGCTTTCCTTCAGGGAAGATAATCTTCTTAGCACTCCCCTCTCCTAAGCTGCGAGAGGAGCCAACTTCGAACAAGGTAAACAGTGGTGAGACTATAGAAAAGGAGGAGGCGGGCAAAGGTGGAAAGCGCGAAGTGTACGTCGGCCTCTAAACAAGGCGAGCGAATATTTTTCAAAAAGGTAACGGACTGCGCCAACCTTGTTAAAGTTTGTCAGGGATGCATACTCAATTTTTTTATGAATGCGTGAAGACTTGCATAATTGCTATATTATGATTTTCAATTTCAAAGACTACCCATGCGCGCAAGGGCTGTATGTCCTTTTAAAGATTACATGGAGTAAACTCCCAGCGTCTTGCGTTGATTTGATCAAGCAAAAAGCCGATTTATTCGAAGCGTGAATATATTTGATGCGTCCATTCAGGTTATGATTAGCTCATCACGCACAAGATCTTACTGATTAGATAAAGAAAACACTTTAAAATAGGGCACTGCCTCGAAAGAGAGCTCAGCTAACGTTTTGCACGAGCGATACATGGACTGCTGGAGGTAAGGCGGCAACGGAGGGTAAAGAGTGATATTTAACGAATGGTTGGCTGAATGTGGCTCAGTTTTGGCCTCTACTTCCCGTCAGAGTCGGCTGTTTTGAACAGTTATCGTAGGTACTGGGGAATACATTCGGGAAAGTGCGTCATCATGCCGGCTGATCTGTAGCTGGATGAATGCGATTCTTCAGAAGAGAACGGAGCATTTGAACATAGCCGGCGGGCTAGTGAAGCACTCTTCTAGCTCTGCACCAACTAAGCAAAGTTATAAAGTGCCGGAACGCACCGAGGGCAAATAAATCTTCAGATTTTGCAACGGTGTCTTTTTACTGCTTTTTTGTTTTTGATTTTTAGTTTTTTTTTTATACGAGAGGCTTTGCTTTCCTGTGTTGTCACGAAACTGCATCATTCTCTTGGTGAGATTGAAACTGAGCGCGGTCATAAACCGCCCTATTTGCAACACCAGAAGAGGTGACGCCTCCCAGCGGAGAAGACATGAAGGAGGGAAGTATGGAAGCGTCGCGTATTCAAGTGTGCACCGAAAACTAACGCTGCCTGGTGGCCTAAATGAAAGGGGATTAAATTCGCGCCGGAGTTCAAAATAGCGTGCATGAACACTGCCTGGCACTGCCGTGGCGTAGACGCCGCAGGCGAGGAGCTGCCCACTGGCAGAAGCAAAATGTGCAAACTGCAAAACTGGCCCTAAAATTAAAATTACGTACATTTTCAGACAATGCACAACCGTGCACTACCCGAAAAAATAGTGAGTAGGCAAAGGTTGTATTTTGTAAATAAATGTGATGAGATTGCATTCGATACAGTGGGAGTCATCTTCTGAAATTCGCACCCTATAAGGTATGTAGCGAAGGCGATACAGCAAACGTTCAGAACCCTAGTCACGGGAAATATTTCTATAGATACAACAGTCATCATCCTACAATTTTATGCACAGCCAGATTATTTACTTACGTAAACAGGGGGCTGAAAACGGATTCCTGCGGCACACGCAGCACACGATTATATTTGCCGAAGCCACTCTATTGACACATTGTTTTTTTCCAACAACTTCACCTTACGGCCACTTCAAAAGCACATCGGGAATGTTAGCAGTAGAAGCATTTTGCAATGAAAGGGTATACAATACAAAATCGAAAGCCTTACAGGAGTTCAAAAATGTGCAATAAACCTGATTATTACAGTTTAGCGAAGCCACTTAATCAATGTCTCTGGTGAGCTTTATTAACTCAGAATCCCAAGAGTAGCCCGTCTTGAAATCGCATTGCCTCGTGTGAAAAAAAATGCGACTCTTTAGATGACTGACTAAATTAGTATAAATAATGTGCTTTAACGTTTTACAAGAAGCGCCTGTTAAGAAAATTAGTATAAGCTTATAGTTTAGTTGTTTAGTCTCCACGTTTCAGAATATGAATATTTGACTTCTTTAAATCTAAAAATAATTGACTTTTTTTTTTTTTTTTTTTTTTTTTACGGGAGTCTTTAAACAAGATTATTAAGTAAGGGCCCACTGTAGGTGTGCCCGTTTTCAAGGTGTGGCTGGAGACACCATCTGGGACGGGGGCTTAGTTCGATTTGGCCTTCTATAATAGCAGTGTGAAGCCATATACAAAAATGTATCTCGTTCATTTGCGTACAAAAAATATTGTAATTTTCTAATTCACAATTAAAAATAGAAATTGCAATTTTCCTTTCTGCATTCGTACCTACCACATGGAAGAGAGCGACACTGTTGTTTTTAAATCATTGCATAGCTTCCTTCTCTAGCTTAACAGATTTGTTAAAAATAGTTGTACACTAATAGTTTGTGCACGTCAGTTATACAATCAGGGGGACATAGTTAAGGGGCTAACCGTGACGATCAGCCGGCTAATTGGCTAAAGTATGTTAATTAACTTTCGGAGGATTGAAAATGAACATGGTTTTAATTAGAAACTTGCTGAGCGTCATAAAAAGCCACTACATCTGTGAATACTCGAAAAACTTGGAGCACGTGGAAAGCACGGTGGAGCGCTAAAATAAAGTTACTCGTAAAATAAATTCGTAAAATTACTGATTTAGTGATTTTCGATGACGCTCTGTAAGTTTCTTCTTGGAACCGTACGTTTATTTTCGCTAGTAAAAAATAGAATGAACAAATTTTATTGAATTATTTAACTTATCGTCATAATTAGCGCCCCTATATTCTGTCCCCCTGGCCATATCACTCCCCAACAGAAAACAATTTAGTGTAGCTTTCACGGATTTTTGAGACAAATATTTTAAGCTTAAAAAGGAACACCTTGTATAAACAAGTCAAGCACATTACCCCTGTAGTAGTCAACTCTAGTTTTTGTTCCCACAAATCGAAATATAAAAATAATTTACAAAAGAAACACCGCTATGGAGGAAGGATATGGTGAAAATATAGGTTGAACATACAAACATTCTACATCTGGCAAATTAAAACCGCCTGCAAGAACTACATACGTTGCTTTAAGTCTTGATAAGATGTTGTTTAATTGAAAGAAGGAATGTGCGATGATTGAGCCACGTCGTTTATAACATTATGCAAATTGTAGCGCTGGTGTTAGAGACGCCATCAAATGTCACCAGGTTACATCGAGGAGCATGGTCCAGTCTTTGTAACACATGAGTTTCCGTAGTCGCGGGGAAACAATCCAGCCCATCCCAGGGTCCCGGTTCAAGGGTTTTTCGGTGTGAAGATCCGTCCCTCGTTCTCTAAACTACATCTAGCGCCGTCAGTCGTCCTTCGAGTGACGACTCTAGATCCTGTTAGCTCCAATGACCTACGGTGACCTGAATTATGTTCCCGAGACATCGCTTTTATGACCATTACAGTTGATATTTTCCACTCAAGTTACCACAAAAAAGCATTTCCCATCTCTTTCCAACTGATTATAATGCAAGTAAATGCAGAGGTGCAAGGGAGCTGAACAAGAATAGCGAAAATAATCCCCAAATAAGGGGAACAAGAGGGGCAAAGGACAAACACAAATCTCCAAACACAGCTAGGTGACTGGTGCTCGACAGAAAAACTCCGCCTGGTCCGTTGGTAGAGAGCTCCGCTGGTCAGTTGGTAGAGCGCTCCACTGGAAATTTATTTATCTATTTATTTAGATATCTTACACTCCCTCTAGGGGCATTATGTAAGGGGGGGGGGGGGGGAGGGGTTACAATGGAGAATAAATCGAAAGTACAGAGCACAAAAACAACAAAATCAACCACACTTAAGTAAACATACATCAAGGGCCCCAAAAAGTAGTTAAATCGAAAAAGAACTTGATTACGTTGACAAACAATGTTATCGGGCAAGTTGTTCCAGTCAGCAATGGCGGATAGAAAAAACGAGCAGAAAAACAAGGATGACTTACAAGAAATAAGTTTAATCTTACATGAGTTATCAATGCGGGTTGAAACATAAAACGGTTCAGAGAGAAGTGATGAGTGAAGTGGTGGCGAGTAGTACATTTTATTCAGAAGATATAGCTTTGATACCCTGCGGCATATCTCAAGTGAATGAAGGTCAGCACGAGTTTAAAGGTTAGTTACACTGGTATGACGTGATTAATCATAAAAAATGAAACGAACGGCTCAGTTTTGGAGTGCTTCCAGTGAGGCAGATAAGCAATGATAATGAGGATTCCAAATGCTGCAAGCGTATTCCAGGATCGGTCGAACAAGCGTGACGTATGCTAGTCGTTTAAGACAAGATGGGGCAGAATTAAGGTTACGTTTTAACTAACCGAGACTACGGTTAGCTCTAGAAAGAATGTAATTAGTATGCATGTTCCATGACAGATTCGAGGTTAGCTAGGTGAACTCCTGGGTATTTGTACGATTGAACAAATTCCAATGGGGTAATGTGACATTGACTGGGGTACAAACAAGAATTATTAGGACGAATAAAACGAACGTGATTGCATTTAGATGAGTTTAAAATCATGAGCCAATTAGTACACCATGAGTTGATATTTAGTAAGTCGTCTTGAAGGGCAGTAGAATATGATGGGTTACTGATCCGACGATAAATAACGCAGTCATCGGCGAAAAGAGAAATTTGAGAGGTCAAGGAGTTAGGTAAACCGTTTATATAGATAGAAAAGAGAAGCGGACCCCAGCACACTACCCCGGGGAATACCGGAGGTGACGGGAACAGGATTTGAACGGTGGTTGTTAGCGATAGTGCACTGGTTCCTGTAATGTAAAAAGTCTTTAATCCATTTTAATACATGCGGGTCAATATTTAGTGCAGATAATTTCCAGAGTAAACGCTGATGAGGAACGCGATCAAATGCCTTAGAAAAGTTGAGAAAAATATCATCAGTAACCTCATAGCCGTCCAAATTAGTGTGAATATGATGTAAAATAACAGCTAGCTGTGTCTCACAAGACAGTCCTTTTCTAAAACCATGTTGATGAGGTGAAAAGGAATGATTGTTCGCAAGTAACAAGGTTAGTATAGATCAGGGATGAGCAAAATACATGCAAATATGTATCGAAATACAAATACAAAATACTTCGTCAAAAATGTATTTAATTACAAATCTAATTACATTTCCAAAAAAGCATTTAAGTACAAGGTACAAATACAACCAAATGTATTTGGTCTCCTCCAAATACTTTTCCAAATACATTCCTCAAAATTTGCGTCAGCGACTTCAGGGCACCTGCAACCGGTTTCTCGGTATCTCATTTTAATTTTGCATCGCACACTCGGGAGTTAGTTTGCGAGGCTCCAGTAACGTAATAGAAATATAATCACAAAGAAAATGTAATCAGCTTGGACGTAATAGGTGAAAAAAGTACAGAGCTTCAAGCAGCTTTTTTCGTCGATTACATTTTGGTATAGACCAACAAAGAACCGAGACGACCAAGAGCGCAGCACTAGCTAGAGAATTTTTTATTGTTGCAACTCGAACCAGTTTCGAAAATCTGGCTGGAAAGCATCACAGGTTGTCACAGGCACGTATTTAGCCAGTCTGACTGTGAACGTCGATTTCGTCACTATTCATGCCCTGGACTAGCACCGTATTCACAAAGTCACTAAACGCTTGTGCTTGATTGAGGGACACTGCATTCGGTGCAGAACGTAGTTTTCTTCCTGCTCTAGACAGTGACAATAAATTTGAGGGATGTATTTTTGCCCACAAAATTGTATTTAATTACAATTGCATTTGAAGTACCCAAGTTTTAGTATTTAAATACACGCGTCAAATACAATACCCTATTTGTAATTAAATACAAATGCAAAATACACAAAGTATTTGAAATACTGCCCATCCCTGGTATAGATTATGTATTCAGGTAATTTACATGAGACACTAGTTATAGATATTGGCCTCTAGTCAATAGCAGATGATATATAACCACCCTTGAAGACAGGAATGGAGAGGTCCCTGGTTCGATACCCGGACCAGGCGGAGTTTTCCGGTCTCACACCAGTCACCTAGCTGCGTTTGGAGATTTGTGTTTTTCCTTTGTCCCTCTTGTTCCCCTTCTCCAGAAATTATTTTCGTCATTCTTGTCCAGCTTGCTTGCACCTTTGCATTTAATTACATCATAATCATAACCTTAAAATGCAAGCCTTTCACAGTTGTTTGTGTTAGACTGGTGGCAGCTGATAAAACCTGTTTGCTCTACTGACGTCTAACCCCTGGTTAGCTCAGTTGGTAAAGCGCTCCACTGGAAATGGAGAGGTCCCGGGTTTGATACCCGGTCCAGGCGGATTTTTTCGGTCGCGCACCAGTCACCTAGCTGTGTTTGGAGATTTGTGTTTGTCCTTTGTCCCTCTTGTTCCCCTTCTCAAGGGATTATTTTCACAATCCTTCTGACTGGCGCTTTTTTTGCCTCGAGTTTCATACCAAGGAGCCCTCGAACTAAGTCTTCAACAGGGGGCACTGCCTTTGCCGAAGTAGGTGGGTTGTCCTAGAGACATTCCAAGGTGTTTGTTTCCAGACAGCGACTGCTGCACGAGAAACTGTTGTGGCTCCATCCGACCTTTCGGAATGAAGATTATGGACAACACGGGCCGGGAAGTCATGTTCATCGACAGGCCGCTTCGCTGCGACACTTGCTGGTTCCCCTGCTGTCTTCAGGTGGGGCACCTTCCTTGCCGCCTCTTGATCGCGGAGGCGCGCACCACATTTCATATTCAGTGAGGTGTTTCCGAACTTCAAATGCGAAACTGGTTGTACGAACTTTCAGACGGCAGGGAGTATTGCCGCGGAGATCGAACCACAGGGGGCGCTTTGCTGAGCCTGTTTTCCACGGAGTTTGGCGTTTACCCAGCACAAGGCCTGTAGAGAGGACATCTTTACGTCATTTACCTCGATCAAGAGCGGGGCTCAGGTTGGAAGCGAGGGGTGCGTCCGCGTTTGGTTGGAACTCGTGCTCGGACCGTGTTTCACTGATTAGACGCGAGCCCCAGGTTGCGCTGTCGTGGCGTTCGGCTATGTCAGCCGAGCCCTGAGTCTGAAGCCTGAGCAAATAATTCATGTTGTTGTTGTACCGGTGGGTTTAGTTATCAACTTTGCCGCTGGGGGCGCGGCTGTTGGATCTCCTCCCTGGAGAGCTCGGATTGTAGATAGGGTTCAACTCAAACCGTGGGGAGCGTTCGAAATTAAATGGCGGACGCCTCCTGCCAACGTTACTAGAACCACTCAGTTGGGAAACTGCCACAGAGACTGCCCTGAAAAAGTGGCCCCAATCTGTCCACCACAACCGAGCTAATGGCGAACACAACGCCGCCATTTCTCCCGCAGCGGCCATTCGACGAACTGCATGTTACTTCTATTTTGGCTTTAATCGGCCATTTTGGTGCCGAAACAGATACATCGGAAGAGGTTACAGGGATGCCACCCCCGTCTCCCCAGCGGACGCGCCGCGAATTTCTATCGAAGTTAAAATGCACCTAGGTCGGGACGCGCTACCGCTGAGGCATGGTTGTATAAAAACAATATTAATTGTTCCGTAAAACCTTGCAAACTAAAGATTATAAAAACATCACGCGCCCTTCATTTTGTACTAAACTCCAACAAATTTCATACAAAAAGAGTCTTTTCCGTTTGTTTCTTCGCAAAAACGTGCTTTCTAAAAGCTCAAGGTGACCACAGTACAGACAAATGACAAAGAGTGGCGCTGTTGTCGTATTTAGCTCGGTCTCGGTGGACGCCAGCGGCCCAGGTTTCGACGGCGAGTTTCCCAACTGAGCGTTCTAGTAACGTTGCCTCCTGCAGAGATTGATCGCAAATGCGCATGCGCTGCATTGTCGCGTGGTGAAGAGGAAAGCAGTCGGAAAGGCGTAGGCATTTGCAGACGATCAACGCTCTGGTCACCTTTTCGCAGCTCGTGTTGCAAACGCGGCCTACAAACCACGTGACAACGATCGAGCAGTTGGAAGCTCTCAGTAATACAGAGAGTTTCCAACAACTCCCTAAAAATGTCTGCCCTGGAATGCCGGTATTTGCGTCTCTGCTGTCTTGTTTGAGCTTGGTCAGTCCACTAAGATGGCCAACCTGTGTTCTTTAACGTTTATGCTATCCTTAGATATAAAGACCTTATAAAGCTCATATTATTGAAGATGCTTGGAGGGGCCTATTTGTAAACAAAATAACTTCTTGGTATGTTTACGCGTAGGTGGTACTTGGAAAAAGACTAATAAGTGCGCTGGCAGCGGTGTTTGTGCAAGGTTGTGTATAGGCAAAGTAAAAGCAGCTAACCAATGTATAAGCATAAACATCTAACCTAGGTATACTTATTCGTATAAGTAAAGCAGCTAACCTCGACGTGACGGCGCTTGCTTGGCTAACAAAATTCTGTTACACGTAGCTTGGAACACGTAAGGAAAAGCGCTTCGGATCTAATGCTTCTGGCTCTGGAGTTAAAAAAAAAAATTTCATGGTGCAAAAAAAACAAAAACATTTGAAGTTTTTTTGTTTTTTTTTAAACTCAGAACTGTACAATCAGGATTCTATTTTCCGCTGACGCAATAGACGCAGCGGTTGAGGATAGTACTGCCGGTGAACGCCATTGCTATTGCAGTAACCGTACGGGGGTACGCCAGCTGATTGTTTACTAAAATAAGATAATGGAGCACAGTAGACTGCTCCTGGAGTAGTCCTATGTACTAGAGACGCGAACCACTTCACGGCGGCAGCAGCGAGCGGGCGTTAGATGTTCGGTACAGCCCATGGGTACTGCCCAAAAAATGGAGAATAGCCGGTTTGTCGTCTGCTATCGGGATTGAGCGCGTGCCCTTTCCCTTTTTTAGTCCGGCAGTTTCGTGTAAATGCAAGGATGTATCAAAATGGCGCCGCTCTGGGAGCACTTGGTGGAATGGTTCATACTCGTGGGCCGCGCTAGAACGCGGAACACCGGCGTCCGGCGCTTGGCTCTCGCATTCGAACGTGTTCGTTGAGTGCAGTCGAGACAAAGCCAGCTAGCTTCAGGTCTACCCACTAATCATTTCAATCAGAGCTCGGCGTTCTGACGTCTCCTCCTCTTTCTCAATCTCTTGGCACATGTGCTCGATGTCGGGCTTTGATGGCAAGTCCCGTTGTCCTTCTCTTCTCAGACGATGGAGGTGATGGCGCCCCCGGGATCTCCCATCGGCTACCTGGTCCAGGAGTGGAGCATCCTCTACCCCAAGTTCAGGGTCGAGAACGCGGCCCACGAAACTGTGCTCAGGATCGAGGGCCCCGCGTGCCGGTGGCGCTGTTGTTCCGACGTCGTTTTCCAAGTAAGCAAATACGGTGTGCCTGGAACGCGTCTTGGACTGTCGCGTTTACTTGCGTTATCCTGCCCGTACATCAAAAAGTGGCCGCGAAGTGGCAACAAATGGCGTCACAGAAGTCGGCGTGTCGCGCTGTCGGATACCCCGATCCTGGCGGTAGGTGCTAGAAGTTCTGGCAAAAAGTACGATTGCTTTCTTTGCAACGTCCCTACTCCCGGCTGCCGAAGCTTCCGTGGTCTGTCACACTGGAGAGCGACCTGCAGCAGAACGGGCGTCTGCCACATCCAGCACCGCTGCTGGGACACCGCCAGGATCGCGACCGGCGAAAAAAACCTGCTTGTGTGTTAACCGGAGCCCTTTTCTGCCGTGCTCCAAATAAGCTTTGGCATATTGGTGCACTGCTGGTCAAAAAGATTACATGGAGGGATGTGCTCGTGGGCGCTGTCATTGTGGAAGCGGGCGTTTTCTGCGACTTGCCTGCTAAGCCTCCTCGTAGCATAGAGCACGGATACTGTTTGATTTACTAGAGAACGTCATTAAGCTTGTTTTCAACATATTATTTTGCACAAAAACTACCTCTTGGATTCAAGATCACAATATGCGATGAGATCACTAATTTCAATTTTCGCGTTCTGATAGAGTTCCATTGAATTCCTTCCGTCGAGCACGCACTCTGGCTGCTTCACAGCTTGAGGGTATTTTCAAAGCAAGATGCCAATTCAGGATTTTGCCAAATTTCACTCAACGAAGGCATTAAGAAAATACTTTCATTGTACCGTTCGGAAGTTTTTTCTCCGCTGGACTACCATTTAACATCGTGCGTCCGGTTTAGCAGACATCCAAAGGCATCCAAAGGCATCTGCGTGTGCTCTTGCAAGAAAGTTTCAAAGTAGTAAGTCATATGAACGATATCCTCATATGGTGCTACTGGAGAAGAATACAACACGAGGCTTCGTATTGTGCTATAACGAGTGACCAAGGCTACGCTGACGCTTAACAAAACCAGGGGCCCATTTAACATCCAGCAGCCTTATTTCTACGTTATCTGCTGGACCACGACGGCATTAAACTCGATAAAAGCAAGACTAAAGCCATTGTGAAGATGGAAAGCCTGAGATACAAAGGCCAGTTGCAAAGAATACTGGAGGTAGCGGCATACCTTACTACTTTGTGAAAAACCCTGTTGACATTTTTCGCCAACTTGTTTTTTTGCTGTAGAAAAAGCGGGGGTTTATTTCTCCACAACAATGAATATTTGACAAGTGGAAAAAAGGGGTATTGCCTCGTCCTGTATTCATAGTGTACGACCGCATGAAGCGTATACGGTTGTCAGCGCAGACACTTCTCCTTTCAGACTTGGTGCAATGATCTGACAGCGACAAATTCGGAGGAAGTTAGCAGTCATTGCCTTTGCTAAAAGTTTGTTCTCGGAAGCAGGAACGCGCTATGGGGAAATTGAGAAATAAACTCTTGCGTTAGTCTGAAATTGTAAAAAGTTCAGCGGATAATTGGTTTGCAAAACGTTCAAGCTGAAGACGAAATCGACGACAAACCGCTTGTTTTCATTTTTAAACATACCAATGATTTGGCTGTGAAACTAAAAACAAAATTTGCAACCAGCGTTCAAAAAAGGTCGTCTTGCCGCTGACAACACTTTCCAGAGCACCTTGCAGACAGGAAACACAGAACTACAAAAGTACGATGATAATGCCATTAATGCAAAAGTGCAAGCGAGTTGGACAAGAATCCCGATAAGAATTTTCAGAGAGTGGGAACAAGTAAGACAAAGGACAAACAGGAATCTCCAAATACAGCTAGGGGACGTTGCGCGACCGAAAAAAATCCGCCTGATCCTGGTGTCGAACAAGAGACCTTTCCCTTTCCAGTGGAGCGCTCTGCCAACTGAGCTAACCAGGAGTTAGACGTCAGTAGAGCAAATGGGTTGTATCAGCTGCCACCAGACTAACACCAACAAGGGTCAACGGCCTGCATTATAAGGTTATGATGTTAATGCAAATAATCCAAAGATGCAAGCGAGCTGGACAAGAATGACGATAATAGTCTCTGGAAAAAGGGAACAAGTGGGACAAAGGACAAACACAGACTTCCACACGGTGGCAGGTCAAGAACGAAGCGGAAGCACCGCCCACCTCTTTCCACTTTAGTAGCGCGAACGCTGGAGAGGAGGCGACCTCATCTCCACCGTTCGCTCCGCTGAAGTGGAAAGGGTTGGAAGGAGCTCCCACTTCGTTCTTGACCTGTCACCGGCTATAGTGCGTGAGCTAACGACATTATTATTTTAATTTTAAAATGCAGGCCGGTCACCCTTGTCGGTGTTAGACTGGTGGCAGCCGATAAAACCCGTTTGCTCTCCTGGCGTCTAACTCCTGGTTAACTCAGTTGGTAGAGAGCTCCACTGAAAGTGGAGAGGTCCCTGATTCAACACCAGAGCCAGGTGGATTGTTTCGGCCGTGCACCAGTCATCGAGCTGTGTTCAGAGATTTATGTTTGTCATTTGTCGCACTTGTTCCCCTTCTCCAGGTATTTTTATCTACATACAGAAGTGCGTTGCAACTTTCATCTGTTACATGAGGAATTATCTTCCAGTCAAGGAATATTGCCTATGACTACAAGAAAGGATGAATTCGAATGCAGTTTGTGCTCAGTTCCGGAAGCTGAACAGAAAGCAGTAGCCATAAAGGCGGGGTTTGAAAGAATATCCCAGTCTATTTTTTGAGTTCCGTCAGCAGCTGATCTTAAAGGACAACTTGTAAGTGGCCGCGTTGTCTTCCCCGACTTGCGCAAAAATACAATTTATCTTAAAGCCCACTGTAACAAACGAAAGTACAGCATAAATGGCTACACGGACAAATCGCGACTGACGGCCTTTTCAAATGACGCAGTATTACGCAAAGTTTTTGTGCGAACTTAGGCGTCTTCACCATCGCCCCTTTCCAGCGCTGACAGTGCTGACGCCTGACGGCGCCGCAGTCACGTCTTTTGGCAAAATTGCTCCATATGTGATGCGGCCCTTAGGCTCATATTCTGAAACCCAGTCTAGAAGCGAGGTTTTGTCAACATTTGAAAGTGAAACCCTCTAGAGCCAGCAGCTTTTTTTATGTTGGATACCTGACAACAATAAGAAACGAAGGTTTACGGACACGCATGGTGATCAGAAATCCCCTTGCCCCCCCCCCCCCATTCCCACAGGGCGAATGATATGCCTATTGGGTGATTCCCACAGGGCGAATGATATGCCTATTGGGTGATTCCCACAGGGCGAATGATATGCCCATTGGGTGACTTGTGACTAACAATGCATCCACTAGCCCCCGTTATGTAAAGATTTTATTTGTAAAGCGCCATCGCACGCACTTTATTTTATCTCTCCTCACACGTTTGTTTCCTCGGTGGTTTTTCATCATAGGCCTATATACACGGTAATTACTTAAAGGAAAACTTAAGTTAATTCTGAGATGTCTATTTATGGTGATAACTCAATCTTCGGGTTATGTGCATCCTAAAAAACCCAACATTACACTAATTTTCAACTATGTCCTTTAATCAGCTCGCCTGTACTCTTTCTCTTATGTTATTCAAAGATCGTGACGTGCTCTTCTTTTTGAGCCTCGAAGCAGACACCAGGGGGTGCCGTGGGACGTCGTTTTCAAACAGTAATTACTGTATCGGGCTTATCATGTACAGCGCCCCGCATGACAAGGCACTAGTCAATGCAGTGCGCCCGGCGCTATCTGATAAATACTGCCGACGTTCATTAAACTATGTTCTTGTTGCTCTGCACACGATCCGGTCGACTGCCTCTTTATCGTCAATGATACAATTACCGTATTACGTCTCCTACGTCCAAACAGTTTAATTTGTTTTTTTTCACAATATAATGCAGAACGCGTCTAAAAAGAGCAGTGTTTGTGGCATTCGAAATCTCCGAGCAATTAACTATCTTCACTGGTCAAATATTGGTGGTAATGAGGATTCGAGAATACTCCCCCCCCCCCCCCCCCCTTCAGGAGAAAACAGTGCCCATGTCCCCCCAAGAGAAACTAGTGACCGTGTGCTGTGAGTTTACAAGGACGTCTTGCAGTCTAGAGCTGTTCGTTTTTATTTAAAATCCGACGAAACATTTATTGGCAGTCCAACAAATAATAACCCATTAAAAAGAAGCTTCTACAGGAAGCACTTGGGTGCTCCCTTTAATATATCTACACCTTTCTTTATACAGACGTTCTTGAAGTGTACGCTCATACTGCGATTGTAGTACTTCACTGAAATCTTCGAGCTCGACAAGTGTTCATCGAAGCAAACACTTCTCGCTTCCACGTGAGCATAATGTAACCACTGTGGTTCATTTTGACGGCGGTCCAAAAATCACTGATAGAAATGCGCACCTTAAAAATAATGTACAGAAATAACTTGTAAACATTAGGTAATTAAATTTCAAATTATCAAGTCATACTTGTGCGCTAGCATCCGGCGCGGACGATAACGATATTTTGATGAACGATTTATTACCCCTGCCGCACACCAGAATTTCATGTCATTTTATAAAGTTTTCATAATTTCATTTTAATTACGTCATTCATGTCGCTTCATTCACGTCAATATTATCATTTCATTAAGTTGCTATTATTTCATTTAATTAATGCCATTAGGTGATTGGCGAATCAGCTCTCGATCCTTACTACGTGCTTCGCGCTCTTTGATTGGCCGATCAGATAATTTCATTAAATTTAAGTTACATTAAATTTTACCGTCTGAAAGGGGTATTAGTTGATCCTCACGTTAAAAAAAAAACAACGAAAAACTGCATTTGTTGGGCGTTGATTCGACGGGGTAGGTACGCACTTGCTAGTAACCGAAGCCAGTGCAAATATTGAATGCTTTCAAGTTCACATATAAACGAAATTTTCTCTTGTTGAGCAAAGTGGCCACTGCTACATTTTCCAGGTGCTCTCTAAAGACGGACTTCATCAAGTTGGGAAAATCACCAAACAGTGGTCAGGTCTTCTGAAAGAGGCCTTCACGGACGCCGACAACTTCGGGGTGTCCTTTCCAATGGATCTGGACGTCAACATCAAAGGCGTCCTGGTCGGGGCCGCCTTCCTCATTGTAAGTCACCACTTCGCTGCTACGCCAACGTTCAGGGGAACCATAAACGTAGGGCTCCGGCCAAACAGCAAAATTATTGTCATATGCGTTGAAAGCCATTCGTCCTGAATCTAAGTTGTTCGCTTTTAAACGAGAAAATTTGATGCAATTATTTGAAAATTACATTCGCTACCAGCCTAGTTCGGCAAAACTCATTCGCAGTTTCTTTATAATTAACTGAGTAATCTGCACGACAGAGACGCAGAAGAGAATAGCACGTAAAATTAATAAAAAAGCAGACGACTTGTTGATATTTACATGCGTTACACATGCGCTACTAAATATATTTGATTATGTGATATCCTAAGTACGTGTTTTATCAAAGAACTTCATATAGTAAACGACTTAATTTTGGGGAGCTCAATATTTCGCATTTTAGGTCAAAGCTGAAGTTTTGGAATAATTCGCTGGTTCTAATTTTCGCGACGCGGTGGGATCTTCATGTAGATTCCAATGTGTTTATATTTTAGCGTAATTGTTCGCGGAACCTGTTTGTCGCGAATTGTAGATGATTCGCGAAATTCGCGAAAATTAGGTCCTTGCAAAAATTATGTTGTTTACAGTAGTTACTTTTGTATATTAAAATGAGAAGAAGAAAGTGCCGTCCTTGTTCCTATGAGGTTTCAATCCCATGTTTTGATGACAGTCTTGATTCCACATACATAATGTTGCTCCAAATTTGACGCCAACAGGCGTCAACTGTTAACAAAACAGAGCTAATAACTACCATCCCCAGTGCAAACCGTGTGCTATCATATTTTAATATTATTTAGGACGATAACAGCCCTGAAATTCCTTTCGTTTTTCGTAGTACGGTACTCAAATTGGTTACTATAGTGAATTAACCTTTAAGTTAAATGACACTAAAAGATTACTTGTGAGAGAGACCAAGCTTAACGTCATACATAATGGAAATGACATGCGCTAAAAATTAAATTAACGTTGCCATGTGGCGGAGGTATAGGAATTGTGTGAATTAGACTGAAATTTAGGACGATTTAGAGCCGCGCTGTCAGTTTCGAAATTTCGTGCTGCAGGTTTTGAAAATATAGGCCTAGTATTAAATTAACCTGTTAGTCTGTAGAAAATAACATGGCAGCAAAAGCAGACATCACTGAAATTTTTTTCTCCTTTTATAAACACTGTGATTCTTCGCACCCCCTTCAATATATCCAATGAATGCGTTGTCTCTTTGGATTTACTGACTTCGTCAATTTGATAACCCGGTCTTGGTTGTGTCTGCTTTGCGGTTGTATTTGCATGAATGGTGTAAAAGATTTAATGGGTGTGGATGAATGCAGTGTGTATACTGCGTATAATGAGTGTAATGTTGGACATAAAAACAGATTGCATTAAATTTTCGTTGATTGTGGTGCCACAATATGTGCGCCAGTGCAACGAATATGTGACTGGTCGGGCGTGCTAACCCAAAGAAAGGAATGGCGTAGAAGCTTGTGCATTTTAGGCATGTTTTCTCTCTTTCTTTCTTTTGCAGGACTTCATGTTCTTCGAAAAACAAGGCAACCGCGACTCAGACGCCTTGTTTGGAATGTGTTGAATAGCGACAGCCACGGTCGATACAACGGCTCAGTCATTTTCGTCCCAAAACGATGATGCAACATATGTCACGGAATGCCAATGAAAGTCACAAAAACAGTGCCAACATAATTATTGAACGATAAAATACACAAACACTATTTTTGTTTTTATTTTTAATGTTTGTAATAACGGTAAGTAACATGAATCTTACAACAAAATAAAAATGTTTTGAAGATGATGGTCAGTTATCACCAAGCTTTTATAAAATCTTAATCTATTAAAAAGAAACAAATGCACATATCTTCCACAGAGATTTGTAGAGGGTAGGATTGGGAAATTTCTAGAATACTGGCATAGGTTTCAGCACATTGACGTATACCTAGGTTCTTTTTTACTTTCTATGAAGTGTTATGAGTCGGATTTTGGGAACTAACGAAAGTTCGTGCATTGCTTTAGATCAGGGGTGGCCAGGCTGGCCTAGCCTAAGAGCCGCAAACAAAACCACGGAACTTCTAAGAGCCGTGCGGGGGGGCAAACATAACTTTCGTTTTTTGTTCAAAGTCTGACTGTACGTATGGGTGCACAAGGCTGTACGACTGTACGTATGGGAGTACAAGGTGCCAAACTAAATCCTTTCTTTTCTTTTCTTTTTTTCTGGGGAAACGCGGAAAGGGGCGAAAGAGGGGGGGGGGGGGGGGAGGTGTTCCCTTACTAGGGATGCGCGAGCCGCACTTGGACCAGCAAAGAGCCGCATGCGGCTCACGAGCCGCGGTTTGGCCACCCCTGCTTTAGATGCTCACAAAGCGTGCAAGAATAAAAAAAAACAGCTTGGGTAGGACGTAAGAGTTTGGGAACGACAATAATTGCATTCTGGAGCAACTTTGAAGCGTCGGAGCGAGTGCTTCGGAGGACTGGGCTCGGGTTAGAAAATAATGTAATTATTAGGCGATGATTTTACTTTTAACGTAACCAAACTGAAATGACGGAAGTCATGCATTGAAGCAAATTCGGCTATAGTGTTTCAGAAAGATGACTACCTTTCTTGGCACCGCAGATTCCGATCACTCTACGCTTTCTTATGATTCTCCCTCTTGCTTCTAAGCCTGAGTCACAACGGCCCTCTGATAGTCCCTATCCTGATTCATGAACCATCAAAAAAGTCGCAGAATCGAGATCATTTCCGAAATTCTTAGTAGTTCACTCTGAAGATGAGCAGAAACCTACTCCTAAACTGTTGCTTTCTGGAGTGGCCAATTTGTTTAAACATCGATTTGGTTTCAACTATAATGCCAGAAACTCCACCTTCTCGTCGAAGGTAACACCGAAGCAGAGTTACGGACTCCTGTGAATGAACCATGTTGATCTCCCGACTTCAGTAACGCCACGTCGGAGAATATATGGTAGCTCCCAAGGACAAGAACAAAAGGAGGAGAACTGAGTACCTTTGTATACTAGAGTAGTTCTTATTTTGTCTTTTTCTTTGAGCGCTTTCATGTATTTTCAAATTCAGCCTCCACTCGCCCGACAATAACCACTGATCACATCGCGCTCTGAACATTGAGCACGGAGTCCACTTTGAGGATAACGACTTTTACTACAGCCAGCAAAGCATTCTAGGAAGCCTCGCTCGTCTGGCGCGGCTGAGGAAAAACTCATCACACTTAGGCGGGATGGCAAAGAGATACCGAAAATGCATGTGATAATCATTTTGGAGCTCAACACACTTCCTACATTTGCTGACGCGGTCTACCTAAACTTCCGGATCGGACCGTGTGTTCGGATGTAACGACGCTGCCTGCGGTGCCAACTGTTCGGGCGCGGATCTAGGAGTTACCGAGGCTCTGAGATCTGCGCCAAGTGTGGATCGAATGTGTAACTGGGAGACATCCGAGACTTATTTTGAACACTCACGTGCCTCTCACATTAGAAGGAAAGCAAATTATATTTTGTAATTGAAAGCAAAAAAATATTACTTATCAGAAAGCATAGGAACGGTTGCCCTTTGCTTCAAAAGGAACATTTGCCGACGTGGCGCTCAGGCGCCTTAAAAAGCGAGGTTTGGGGCTCTTCGGGCCCCAAACCTCCAGGAGCAGTAACTTCCTCTTCCTTTTGGAGGGAGTGCACCAAGTTCCCTTATCTCAGGATAGACAGTTAGCTCCCGCGCCTGTTCTAACCCCTATGTCTTTCCCAGGGAGAAGGAGCGACGTTCTCACCCTGACTTGCTGGAGAGGGCCTTTTCATACATAAACTTATAAAGATATAGATACGTACGAAAACAGAAAGGACACACCGAGAGATCGCGCAAGGTGCACAAAAAAGAACGAGCTCATGCGGAGAAGGCAGTCTGCGGAGGACAGCTTGCGGCCGGCAGCGAGGAGTGGGCGCTCAAACAAACGGTCCGAGCCAAGAATGGTGTGCAAGTTGCGGGCCAACGGAACCTCCATTCATGGCGAAGACCGAACTTCTTAATTGCGTGCCGCATTTTCCGCAAGGGCCTCCACCGTTCTTGGTGGAGAAAAGAATTCCACAACGTCTCCACCCCTATAAGAAGAGGCAACCCAGGGTTCCAAAGACCTAAACAATCTTGGCAGGACTTTCATTTCTGACGTTCAGTGCAAAGCGACCACCGCCAGTGGTCTTTTGGACCTTTCCATGTAAATATTAGACGCTTATTTCTCTTAACTGTTATAAATATTTTCTTTTATAATGCGTATTGCTGAATTTTAGTGGGGTCTGGCATGTGTTTATTTAACATCGTTATTATGATTCCGATCCTTCATTAAAGAGCGGAACAGGCCCTTTCCAAAATCTAGTCTTGATTCTTTGATCGCTATCAACTTATGAGTGTATAACCTCTGTGCAATACTAATGACTGGTGGCTCATTACTGAATGAACGTGATAAGTGATTTATTGGCAGAATAAACGGATACGCACACTACGCCGTGCTAGGCAAAGCAGGGAGGCAACAACTCTTAGAAAGCGCCTACCAGTTTGAAACCGTGCACGTTTACACCATTGAAACTGACGTTGAAGGTATTTTAAAGCGGAGGGTACGAGACCTGGTTTATTTGAAACGTAGTGCAAAGTGATGCTCGAATTAGATACTGCTGGGTCAGCGTTTATTTTGTACCCACGACCAAATTATTATAGTCATAATATAGCTCGAAAGCCCCTTGATGGCAGGAAGTTTACTAAGGGGTTTATAAGTCGGGGCTTTGTACTGGCCATTTTTTTCGTTGACATTATCAAGACTGATATAAACTGACAAATGGCTATGAGACGGAGAAATAACTATGAGATCCCTTTCGCACGTCACCAGCCGTTGACGTGCGAAAGGGGTGATGCCCGATGAAATGCCTGCATTAGTATGATCAAAGTTAAGCTGTTATTTGAGTCACCAGATGACACTGAATTTCGGAAAGGGTATAATGTTCCGCCCCCTTCACCAGGGTGGCGAAACTTAGGGAGTCATTGGGGTTTGACGAGGTGTCGCTTAAGAAATGTTAGAAGGTCACCTTTCGTACGTAAAGCATATGTGGAGGCTGCAATTTTAAGAATGGGAGATGTTACCGCAAGAGACAGACAATGGACGTGTCGGAGATTCTTTAGAAATACAGAAGTGTAAAAAAGTGACAGCCGCAAGACTGTCCCTTCTTCAGGCTGAGTCTCACAGCCTGCAAGAGATCATAGGGCTTTTGGTAGCCATAGTCACGACAGCTCAAGATGCGATGTGCGCATCGTTCGAAGAGCGCTACACAGATGAGTACTTTAAGGATGAGGCGATAATAACACCCTCCCGAACCCTGAGTTCAGGCAAAGAGGCGTCTGCCAGGGATTATACCTTACTCGGGGAGGCTTTGAATCCTTACGGAAGTTTAGTCTGCGCTCCAGAAACGGTGAGAAATTATGAGATACCGAGCGTTGAAGACACAACCAATGAATTGGGGCTGTGGCTTCCAGCCAATGGTGCTGCTGAATCCCGGCAACAAGATGGTGGTTTGAAGAATACCGAAAGAAAGAAAACTCCGACTGAAAGAAAAAACCGATTGAAAAGTCCGTTGTTTCTGCAAGAGGACCACGGAGGAAAGTGTCCAAGCCGTGCAGCTCAAATGAGGTAGAAGAGCGCGCTTCAAGGTACGTGGGCTTAGTGGTCGTACAAGTATAACTGGCGTGAGATGGGACGCATGAAAGATGAGCAGTCGTCGGAGAAGGCTGGGCCAGAAGATGCAGAAGCAAGTCGAGATACATTTTCAGATGCGGAAGCAAGTCCGGATACAAAGGCGAACTCGAAGCATTCAATGCTCAGAAGTTGGGTCCAAACCTGTTGAGGCAAGCCTAGCACAGATTGAGTGTGACGCCAAGACGCGGCCAGATCCCGCGCTGAGCTGGTCAGCTCGAAGGCCCAGGTTAGGCGGTTTGCTAATTTTGATTTCCAAGGCCAATTGAACACTGAGATTTTGACCGAAGATCGTACACTGCATGTTTGGTTTTCATGCTGAAAGAGACCCGGCAATAGTTTCATGTCTATAGATATGTACGAAATATTTAATTTGGATAAAGAATTTTCTGAACTCGAAGAAGTACAGTCGCCGGCCATATGAGCTCCCCCGGCCGAAAGCCGACCGGAGCAGCAAACATCCCGCACGCGGCGCGTCGAACGTTTCCGCGTTTTGGGAACCGGGCTATTGGGACCAAACCATTCCGTTATCAAAGGGGTGGACGCATTGCTTTTATCGCGATTCAGCCTTTATACTTCGTCTCACCTTACGATGGACTAAAGGCAAAAGCTACGAATCACCAGATCCAATCACGAGCCACTTGGAAATCGCCTGGTATTTCGCTGCGATGAACGTTACTGAGTGACTCATCAATTTTACATTGCAAAGAAAGCCGCGACATACAGGCTCTTCGCAGTGTCGAAGCTATAGAAATGATGCGGCGCATTTTGATTAGGGGCATTATTCGTTCATCCTTAATCAATGTTAAGCACTTCATAGTTTAGCGTGGAACGTGATTGGACCCGGAGGCCTGTAGCTTTGGCCTTTAGTCCATCGTAGGATGAGACGAAGTATAGAAGTGTGAATCACAAAAGCATGGCCGATTAGAATTGCCGCCTTCGGGTGTTGGCCCCAAGTGTTCAGAGATGATATTATAGCTGCTGATAAACTGAAGCTTGATTTAGGCGTAAATAAAGCGGCAGTGTTCAGTCGATGCTGACAAATGCAAAAACCCTTTGTTTGATATGATATTAGGCATGACAATAATGATCCCTCGGCAAGCGAGAAGTGGCCGTCCAGGAAACCTTCTGCAAAGTCATCGTGTAGAGGATTACCCTTGACGAAGTAACACGCTACTGAGCGCAGAACAGTACAGTGTCCTCGATGAAACGCGTTCATAAAAACCCGAGTCTTTACTCTGCTTCGACACAAATCTTTTTTTCTTTTTATATCTATAGCATATCCTTATAGATTAAATAAATTATTTCAAAATCGCTTGTCATTGTCTAGTCGAGGTTTAAGAAAGATTGTAAGAAAGGGCTTCTGCATAGGATTACTCTTCGAATAGGAAATATTTAAAATGACTAACCGATTTTGCAAATAAAAAAAAGTAGCATTTAACACGTCAAAGATATTATGCAGTGAAGAATTTAGATAAGCCGTCTGCGTTTACCTACAACCGCAAGCGGGATTGTCATCGGCCGTGCTTCAGATTCACGTTCCAAAACGCGGAATGCTATTAAACTTCCTGCGTCCACCCCTTTGATATGGGAATGGTTTACTCCCAAGAGCCCGGCTCCCAGAAGGCGGCAACGCTCGACGCGCCGCTTGCGGGATTTTCGCTGCTCCGGTCGGCGTTCGGTCGGGGGTGCTCATATGGCCGGCGACTGTAACTTTTTAAAGATAAATTTAATTTTTGTTGATATTATGCTCTAAATTTCTAGATTTTTCCATAAAAGCCATGTAGTTAAAGAAAACACTGTGAAAAAACGGTTGTGCAGCACACAACTTTAGGTGGGCGCCTAATTACTTAATAATTTTGAACTAAAATAGAAACATTGAAAGACGCCACATCTGAACCAAAATAGAAGCTTCAGAAAGAAGAGGCTATGATATTTCTTTATTTTATACTCAACTTAGAGTTGGGTGTTAGCTAAAATACTCCTGTTCTTTGTTCTCTTAAATATAAAATTTGAATTACTTGTATTAAATATTCAAAGCCTTGTTGTGTTGGGTTTTAATTATATGACGAGATCTCCAGTTTAAAAAGGAACGGTCATAGTGAGAGTCGGAAAAAGCAATATGGGCAGCGGTGCCCGTACGTTTCGAAATAGTCAAAGGTTCAGTTCACCTCATCTGTTCAATATTTAAAGAAAAATTAGAAAAGTTAGTTTGGTTGTTGCTGAGAAAATATTTTTAGGAGTCTCCGGCCTTGCCTACAGTCGCCCGCCTCGTAGGCAACGCACGGCGGCGTTTGACAGCGAGGCGTCAACGGTGTGAGACGCCGCCGCGAAGTTTTCAACGTTCTCCTGAAAACACTTTTTATTCAGTTGAAGTGGACGTTATCTTGACATCCAAGTATTCGTATTTTCTTTACCTTACGTAATGATAGTGGCTTCTTAATTAATATCACCGTACTTGTGCCGTAACTGACGACGAACGCCGGCTTGCATCGTGTGCGTTCTGAGTGTATAGGCCTCCTGCGCTGAAGCTTTGAACAAACTGTAGCGCCCTCATTTTGGGTAGTACAAGCTCACCTGATTGAGCCTCGCACTATTTATGGCACGTTGGTTGAGATTTTTCAATTCTGTCTGGTGCTGAAGAACGAAAAAACACCTTTGGACGCCAGAAATTGGCCATACTCAACGCCGCAAAACAATGGACCTTTTCCGAGAAGCGTTCTGCGCACGCGCGAGCGCCCGATGCCAAGCGGTGGAAGTCGGAACGAAAAATCGAGGAAATTCGGAATGAGGCTGTAGATCGACGAGTAGAACACGTAATTGCAGCATATATATAATTGTGTTATACAGACAAAGAAAGTGAACGGAAAGAAAAACACGACGTTTGGGCGGACGCTACGGATTTCCCTCTTTGAAGTCGCGTTGGGCACGCGACACAGCTCAGAGTGCGGAGCAAGTGGTAGCGTAGCTCCCATTATCGATTGGTAGCGCAGGTAGGTCACTTCCTCGATTTTTAGTTCGTGCAGCCACCGCCTGGTGCCGTCGGTATTTGGAAAAAGGTCCATTGAAAGTGCCAAATTCATGACACCACCGCTAGGGTACACGTCTCTTATCTCTGGTGGTGACGTCCAAACACCTGTGTCGCGACGCTTTCATCTTTTTTCTCATTGTCATGTCTACTTTGCAACGCGTGAAACGGCAGTTGTTGGCTCACGCTCTTGGCGTCTTAGCTTTCACGGCGTTCGAATTTTGTTGTTTCTTTGTATTTTTATCGTGATCTCGCGCACTGCACCAGAGCAGGCACGCTTCTGCATGCATGACAGTTTGAGACGCTAAGGTTTCTACTGCCCAAAACAAGGCCTAACAAGTCCCTTTTCGCAGCACCCCCTGGGCAACGCAGGAGGCCCACAGGAGTGCATAGTGCGCGTCGACCTCGTCCGTCGTACGTCCAAATATAAAAACAATTCGTAGAGGATAGCTCTTCACCGACGCGAAATGATCACCCTGATGTCGTTTCCGAATTAAGCTTAAATGTATTTTGATAGAACTAAGATGCATTGAAGTTTGTCAGCGCATTCACCAAGAACGGGCTGCAGAGATCATGACGACATCGTGGAAACGACTACGTCATTCTGCTAATTGTCATTGTGGGCAGGGCTTGCGGCAATCGTTTTGCACGCAATATTGAAAAAGGGAGAAAAAACACGAAAACTGAATATCAAAATAAAAAATACTACCTTTTCGCAAATTCTTGAAATTGGTTAAGCCTCTGATAGGCAGTTGGTGTCAATGCAGCAATTCAAACACGAGCCATTAGACCTGTATTTAAAAAGGTAATCAACATTTTTGTTAACAAACCGACTTACCATGACGGTTATTCATTTAATGTCCGCCGTGCCTGACATTTAGATGGCGAAGACGGAGCCCGTGTAACTTTCACCTTCACCGACTTTAGTGATTTTAAAATTCGAGACATGTTCCGCTGGTCTCCAGTATATTCTTCCAGAGTCTAACAAGCTGCACCTGTGCAGAGCCTCAAGGGTGTGAGGCGTCCGCCGCGAAGAGTGGAATGTTAGTTCCAGCGTTAGGCTGCCTTTGGTAACGTGCTTGTTCTATCAAAATGCGTTTAAGTTCAATGGGAAATCGACATCGCCCTTATCATTTCGCATCGGTGAACAGCTATCCGGTCTGAATTGTTTTTATATCTGACCATAGGACAGACGAGGTCGACCCGCAGTATGGATTTCCAAACTCGGGAAGCAGGCGATGCAAGCCTGCGTTCGTCGTAGTTACGTGGGCAGAAATAGAGTGAAATTAGAACTCCAGTGTCATAACTTAAGGTAGAGGAGATACAGATGCACGGAAGTCAGGATAACGTCTACTTGAACTGAATAAGAAGTGTTGTCAGGAGAGCGTTGAAGACATTACGGCGGCGTCTCACACCGTTAACGTCTTGCTGGCGAGCACCGGCGAGTGTCGCCTACGAGACGGGTGCCACAACGCAAGGCCGGAGAGACTTTTGGCTATCTCGAAACTGCCCACATTGCTTTTTCTGGCTCTCTATACGACCTTTTCGGCATAAACTGAATATTTGTCATTTAATTAAAACGCAAAAAAGCAAGGCTTTGGAAATTTAATACAAGCAATTCAAATATTAGTTTTAAGAGAACAACGAAAAAAAAAAAGTATTGCAGCTAACACCCAAAACCAACTTGACAAAAAAAAAATAAAGATATCATAAGTTTCTTATTTCAGGAGCTCCTATTTGGACTCAGAATGGCGTCTTTCGATTTTTATCCATACAAATTGTTTCGTACATATCCCTAATGTGAAAAAAAAAAAAAAAAATTGCCGCGTCTTTTTTGGCATAGAATGACCCTGTAGCGTTTGCTGGAAGCCATAAGCTGCTTCGTTTTCGTTTCTTTTTCGTCTTTCGATTTTGTACCTTTGACATGGCGATACTTAAGTTTTCTTTTTAAACTTTCACTTGGCAAGTGAGTACGTGGTGTTGGAACACTAAACAAACTTCAAGGTTTCAACCATTTGTGATGCCGCTTGGCTACTTTCACCCCAATTATTTAAAAACAAGCTTGTGATTTTTTCCTTTTTTTTACTTGGATTAAGCGTCGAGTAATAGCCTAAAGTATGCATTTAAGGGGTTCATATCACATCAGCGAATGGTCTTTCAGCGAACAACCGTTATTTCATCGAATCGACGTTTTAGCGAATGACGTCCCGTTGACGCCGCTTTGTGGTGACCTCTGCGGCGGCTCATTGTAACCATCTTAGCCCAACCCGTACACGCCGCTTCGCGGAGGCCAAATTCGCTAAACCGTATTTCGATGAAAAGTCAGGGCGGGAGTTCATTTGCTAAAACGTCATTTACCAACTGTGTACCTTAATAGGAGGGAACAGCGCAGGAAAAACCGACGAAGGACGAGTAGAAGAAGTGCAGAAACACAGCGCTGACTAACAACTGAATGTTTATTTTCAAGCGAACTAGAAAGTAAACACTGGGTGTGGAGAGGGAAAAACACAGAAGCCAATAAAAAGGAGGGAACCCGATAAAACAAGACACTACCACGCCATATCACTTTCACACACGTCTGCCACAGTTCTTGATAAAAAACACTTCGTCAGCCCCCAAGTTAACCGACGGAGCACTGACGCATTCTTCCTCCCCCCTTGATAAAATATAAAAGGCCTCATCAATCTCCCGGGCAGTCTTGTTTTTGTTGCGCGCCAAGATCGTCAACTCAATGAACAGGGGAACGCAGCCGCACCTACTACAATGTACCGCAAGGTGGCCAGAGGGTGAGGAACGGAGAGCAAGGGAATGCTCCCTCGCCCTCACGTTCACACACCTCCCTGTCTGTCCAATGTAAACCCGACCACATGTGAAGGGGATCTGGTATACAACCCCTACTGCGCATGAGACAAACGGATCGCGGTGGTTAACATCACAGTGGTTATCCCTGTTCAACCCTCGGTTAACGGCGGAGCATAATCGAGATAACTTCCGGGGCGCCGAAAACACCACAGGCACCTTATACTTGTTGGCCACGCGCTTGACTTGATGTGAGAGGGCGTGAATGTAGGGCACCACCACTGGTCTGGTTGTCGGTTTTTGCCTCGCCTTAGGACTGGTTCTACCTCCGAACACCTTAAAAAGGGACTCAGCCACTCCCACAATCATCGCCACCGGGTATCCCGCAGAGGTCAGCCTAGACACCTGTGAAAGCAGGCTGTCCTCACACCTATGGTGGCATGACTTGAGCAAAGGGGCGCGCATACCCGACGTAGTGATCGCACGCTTCACAAGCTTTGAGTGCGCGGAGCCGTATGGCAAAAGCCTCTTCTTAGAGCGTGGCTCATAGGCCCAACAGGTGTGTGACGGCTGAAGAGTGAGCCTCAGGTCCAAAAACTGCAACCCCTCTCCCGTAGGTGTCTCGTACTTAAACGATAACCCGGTGGAGCATTCCTTAAAGGAAGCCAAGACTTCCACACACACACTATCCCGGTTGGGGCCCAGGCTATCTTTAAACACAACAAGGTAGTCGTCAACATATCGAAAAACTCTCAAAACCCGACAATCCAACGACTCCGCTATGGCTCTATCACACCTCGCCAGATATAAATCACTAAGGATAGGCGCCACACTCGACCCAATACAAATCCCACTCTTTTGCAGAAAAATTTCGCCTTCAAACGTGATATAGGTGGAACTCAAGTAAAAAGTCAACAACTCCAAAAAGGATTCCACCGCCAAACCCGTCGAGTTCATAAAAGCCACCGACCCACTGGACTGAATGCACTCTTCCACCGCTTTCATCAATTCACCATGGGGTATTGAGTAGAACATATCCTCGACATCCAGAGACACTAAATCACACCCTCCCGGATTGTCTTCTCGGAGGTAATCCACAAGGGCCTCAGAATTGCAAATACGAAAATGATCATCCAACGTGAGCACACACAGGTGGCGCTGAAGAAAAGAAGATACATGAAGCTGCCAGGAGTCTCTCTGGGTAACGATAGCTCTAAAAGGCCTGAGCTCCTTATGGGTCTTCACGGAGAAGAACACCTCGAGATTGAGGCCCTTGGCCCCCGACACAGACTTCCCGAGGCCCTCCAACCCAAGCTGACCGCAAAGCCTCACTGCCCTGGCCTTTACCCTCTTCAGCTCCACTCCCGACACACTTCTGAAATTCTTAAGCACCGCCTGTCTCGCTCTTTCCTGAAACATACCTTCAGGCACCACAACAAACCCCCCCTCTTTATCCGACAACAACAGCTTCAACTTAGACTCATTAAAAAAATTTACCACCGTTCCCATCTTAAGCCTGGGCAAAGGCCTTCGGCCTACCCCTTTGGTCAACCCTTCCACACATTCATGAACACACCGGTCCCTGTTTTCCTCTGACGACTTCGCAGATACCTGCCGAACCAGGGCCAGCATTTCCGAAGGCCCTACCGACGGTTCCGTGGCGAATTTGGGACCCTTTTCCAAAATGTCCAGCTCCGGCAGAAGTGACGGACATTTTGGAAAAGGGTCCCAAATTCGCCACGGAACCGTCGGTCGGGCCTTCGGAAATGCTGGCCCTGGTTCGGCAGGTATCTGCGAAGTCGTCAGAGGAAAACAGGGACCGGTGTGTTCATGAATGTGTGGAAGGGTTGACCAAAGGGGTAGGCCGAAGGCCTTTGCCCAGGCTTAAGATGGGAACGGTGGTAAATTTTTTTAATGAGTAAGTTGAAGCTGTTGTTGTCGGATAGAGAGGGGGGGGTTTGTTGTGGTGCCTGAAGGTATGTTTCAGGAAAGAGCGAGACAGGCGGTGCTTAAGAATTTCAGAAGTGTGTCGGGAGTGGAGCTGAAGAGGGTAAAGGCCAGGGCAGTGAGGCTTTGCGGTCAGCTTGGGTTGGAGGGCCTCGGGAAGTCTGTGTCGGGGGCCAAGGGCCTCAATCTCGAGGTGTTCTTCTCCGTGAAGACCCATAAGGAGCTCAGGCTTTTAAGAGCTATCGTTACCCAGAGAGACTCCTGGCAGCTTCATGTATCTTCTTTTCTTCAGCGCCACCTGTGTGTGCTCACGTTGGATGATCCTTTTCGTATTTGCAATTCTGAGGCCCTTGTGGATTACCTCCGAGAAGACAATCCGGGAGGGTGTGATTTAGTGTCTCTGGATGTCGAGGATATGTTCTACTCAATACCCCATGGTGAATTGATGAAAGCGGTGGAAGAGTGCATTCAGTCCAGTGGATCGGTGGCTTTTATGAACTCGACGGGTTTGGCGGTGGAATCCTTTTTGGAGTTGTTGACTTTTTACTTGAGTTCCACCTATATCACGTTTGAAGGCGAAATTTTTCTGCAAAAGAGTGGGATTTGTATTGGGTCGAGTGTGGCGCCTATCCTTAGTGATTTATATCTGGCGAGGTGTGATAGAGCCATAGCGGAGTCGTTGGATTGTCGGGTTTTGAGAGTTTTTCGGTATGTTGACGACTACCTTGTTGTGTTTAAAGATAGCCTGGGCCCCAACCGGGATAGTGTGTGTGTGGAAGTCTTGGCTTCCTTTAAGGAATGCTCCACCGGGTTATCGTTTAAGTATGAGACACCTACGGGAGAGGGGTTGCAGTTTTTGGGCCTGAGGCTCACTCTTCAGCCGTCACACACCTGTTGGGCCTATGAGCCACGCTCTAAGAAGAGGCTTTTGCCATACGGCTCCGCGCACTCAAAGCTTGTGAAGCGCGCGATCACTACGTCGGGTATGCGCGCCCCTTTGCTCAAGTCATGCCACCATAGGTGTGAGGACAGCCTGCTTTCACAGGTGTCTAGGCTGACCTCTGCGGGATACCCGGTGGCGATGATTGTGGGAGTGGCTGAGTCCCTTTTTAAGGTGTTCGGAGGTAGAACCAGTCCTAAGGCGAGGCAAAAACCGACAACCAGACCAGTGGTGGTGCCCTACATTCACGCCCTCTCACATCAAGTCAAGCGCGTGGCCAACAAGTATAAGGTGCCTGTGGTGTTTTCGGCGCCCCGGAAGTTATCTCGATTATGCTCCGCCGTTAACCGAGGGTTGAACAGGGATAACCACTGTGATGTTAACCACCGCGATCCGTTTGTCTCATGCGCAGTAGGGGTTGTATACCAGATCCCCTTCACATGTGGTCGGGTTTACATTGGACAGACAGGGAGGTGTGTGAACGTGAGGGCGAGGGAGCATTCCCTTGCTCTCCGTTCCTCACCCTCTGGCCACCTTGCGGTACATTGTAGTAGGTGCGGCTGCGTTCCCCTGTTCAATGAGTTGACGATCTTGGCGCGCAACAAAAACAAGACTGCCCGGGAGATTGATGAGGCCTTTTATATTTTATCAAGGGGGGAGGAAGAATGCGTCAGTGCTCCGTCGGTTAACTTGGGGGCTGACGAAGTGTTTTTTATCAAGAACTGTGGCAGACGTGTGTGAAAGTGATATGGCGTGGTAGTGTCTTGTTTTATCGGGTTCCCTCCTTTTTATTGGCTTCTGTGTTTTTCCCTCTCCACACCCAGTGTTTACTTTCTAGTTCGCTTGAAAATAAACATTCAGTTGTTAGTCAGCGCTGTGTTTCTGCTCTTCTTCTACTCGTCCTTCGTCGGTTTTTCCTGCGCTATTCCCTCCTATTAAGATGCTTAACCAACTCGCCCAACTCTCTGCCGTGTTCAACTGTGTACCCCACAAATTTAAGTTGCTATTAAACAGATTGAAAGCTACAGCTTTAAGGAGCTCGTGACGCAGAAAAACCGGCGACGGCGTCGGTGGGACGAAAAAATACCGATTGGTCGTTAAGGTATTCGAAAAATTTTAGGCAGAGAGGGATCGAACCCGCGACCCTTCGGTTGCGAGGCAGACAAGTTTCCAACTAAACCACGCAAACACTTTTTTTTAATTATTATTGCCGTATTTTTACATTGTTAAATAGGAACGCATGCTACTCAAAACGCTGGAAAAAGGGCAAGACTAAAGTAAACCAGTCTGAGGTGACTCGTGTCGGGAACTAAAATTGTTTCATGAACAAAAGTGCCTCAACGCGCGGAAGCCACTCATCCCCACACGTTTGTGCTCTGCTGACTTTGACAAACGAAGATACACTTTGGCGGAAATATTTCCTCACCTCGCGCGCATTACTGTTGACTTTTGTGTCCACAGCGATTTGGGACTTCCAAATACTGCGCAGACTCCACATCATAACCAGGTCAAAGGTAAAACCTTCCTCGTTTTTAACCGAAAGAAAACATATTGCATGCGCGTCTAGGAGGAGGTCTTTTTTTCAGTGTGCGTTAAAGAACGTCGCAGAAGAAGGTGTTGAGGAAAGAACCCGAGCGCGTCCGTTTCGTTGGTGGCCGTTTTATTCTCTCGTGCCCGGATCCTGCCGTTCGTGGTCTCGTGCATTGTCCTGTCGTCTCTTTCTTCTTCTGGTAGTTGAATTCCCGTAATCTACAACAACTTCCCGCGGCGGCCGAAGAAAAGAGAGACAATACACGAGGGGTCAGTGTCAGTAATGCGAAAACAAAATCACAAAAAAAAAAAGGGGCGGGATCAAAAGAAGCCGTTAGCACAGAAGCAGAACGAAAAGAAACGTTATCGCAATCCATGAAAATAGAGTTCCGTCTCGTTTGTTTTCGAACACAACTTGCTGTTATGTCAAATCAGCGGGCTTCGATCCTTCTCTTGGCGAGTTTGCTTCAAGGAGGTAAAGTCCTTGAATTGGACGGTGTATTTCTTGCCCGTTCGCAAGGCGCAGTGTGCATGCTCTCGGTATTCCATCTCTCCCCGAGACGGTGTCTGTTACACGCCCGAGTTTCCATGTAAGGGGCGGCGAGTTGTCCTCTACGAGGACAACATCTCCTGGATTGACCCGTGGTAATAACCGTGGCTGACTCTTATGTGCGGAGTCCAGAAGCAGTAGGTACTCGTGTTTCCAGCGTTTCCAGAATTGCATTATTAACCGCTGGCGATACAGAGCACGACGCCTTAGTTCAGCGGCAGTCGATGTTGGCGGTCCGATTTCTGCTCCATGCGGTATACGTAGGAGTCGCTTGGCTACGAGAAAATGTGATGGTGTCAAGGGCTCTAGTTCTTCCGGATCATTACTGATGTGGGTAAGTGGACGGCAGTTTACGGTGGCTTCTACTTCATGAAGTACGGTGGTAAGTTCTTCAAAGGCTAAGCTGCTGCGTCCAAGAGTTCTCTTCAGCACGTTTTTTACGGTCCGAATTATCCTTTCCCACCATCCGCCCCACCAGGGTGCTCGCTCCACATTGAATCGCCACTGAATACGGAGTCCGCTGGAGTAGTCCTGTACACCATCTGTGTGAAGCATCTTTAAGACTCTGGCTGCGTGATGGAAAGTTTGCGCGTTGTCCGAGTAAACAACAGCTGGTACTCCGCGTCGAGACACGACGCGACATAAGGCGAGAAGAAATCTATCTGCGGACATGGAATAGGCAAGTTCTAGGTGTACGGCGCGTGTTACAGCACAAGAAAAAATAACAATGTAAGCCTTTTCTGACGGTGCAGCACGCACGTACAGAGGTCCACAGAAGTCGATACCGATGAAATTAAAAGGGCTCGTTTCTGTTATGCGTTCTCGTGGTAGGGAAGCCATAGGTGCTTCCTCTGGCTGGAGTCGCCTACGTCGACATGGGAGACAGGTGTGCTGCACTCTCTTCACTGTCTGGCGCCCTCTTAATATCCAGTACCTCTGTCGTAGTTCCGTGAGTGTGTCTTGGACTTCTCCGTGAAGTAGTCGGACATGTGTGGCCAGCACAAGAAGCTCTGTGAATCTGTGGTTACTCGGGAGTAAAATCGGGTGTTTAACCTCCTCCGGAACGTCCAGTTGCTGCAAGCGACCTCCAACACGTATCAGTCCATGGTCGTCGAGGAATGGATGGAGGCTTGCAATACTAGAAGTGAAAGGCACCCTTCCTCCCGACAGTAGTGCTGCAACTTCGACTGGAAATTCCATTGTTTGTACCGTTCGTGTCCAGTAGACCTCCGCTTGAACCAATTCTGTAGCTGTCAATGGGCCTGATAGTGGTGGAAGCGGTGAGGCGTTATGCAGAAATCTTCGTACCCATGCAGTAATACGCAGAACACGCGTCAGGTTACTGTGTTTCATTAGGTCGAGTAGTGAGGTGTGGTCCGGTGTAACCACGGGACAAGTGGTTGTCGGGCGCCTTGACTCTTCCATAGGGAGACCTTTTGGATCTCGCTTTAATTGTTTGGAGGGCCACGTTCTCTCGCCTTGTGCGAGCCAATGAGGCCCATTCCACCATAAGGCGCTACGTTGTAGTATCGGTGCTGGGACGGCACAAGTCAACAGGTCCGCTGGATTGTCCTGGCTGGGACAGTGATACCACTGGAAGCTGTCCGTTAGACGCCTGATCTCTACTATCCTGTTGCTGATGAAAGGCTGCCATCGACTTGGGTGGCCGGCAATCCAATGGAGACCAATCTCAGAGTCTGTCCAGAAGTACGCTTGAAC